GAACTGATATTGTCTGAATGCAGACTGAAGCAAACTATTTTTCTCTTTCTTTCTTCCTTTTTTCCTTCCTTCCCTTCCTTCCTTCCTGTCTTCTTACACAAAATAACTAATATGGAAATGTTTTACATGATTGCACACATGTAACCAATATCAGATCACTTACTGTCTCAGGGAGAGGGGAAGGAAGGATATAATTTAGAACTCAAAACTAAAAACAAAAACACTGAATATTAAAAATTGTTTTTATATCTAAATAGGGGGAAAATAAAATATTATTTTAAAAAGAAAGCAAGGAGGGAAGAAAAGAAGAAAGAAAGGAAGGAAGAGAGAGAGGAAGGAAGGAAGGAAGGAAGGAAGGAAGGAAGGAAGGAAGGAAGACCTGGGTTCAAATCCCAGCTCTGCTACTTGGGCAAATGACTTGACCAAGATTTTTGGGCCTTAGTTTCCTCACCTATAAAATTAGGGGGTGGGAGTAGATAATTGCTAGGTAAGGTTGCTTCTAGCTCCAAAACCATGATCCTAATTTCGTGAGGCTAGTTCCTTCCTACAAAACATAGGAAGGGTTTAGACACAATTGCTGATACCCATGCCTTCAGCATGCATTAACATCAATATGAACGCTTTACAGCAGCTCTTTGCCCTGGTACCATCTCAACCAACTTTCCATTTCTGCATGAAGTTGCCTCTGTAGTGGGGTAGAGATAAGATGATCATCTTTCTTCCTTCTTCTCTCTCTTTCTTCCTCATTCTCTTACTCTTGCTATGGTTGGGTACTGAGGTCAGTTATGGGGCAGACAGGTGGTACAGTGGATAGAGCACCAGGCCTGGAGTCAAGAAGATTCATCTTTGTGAGTTCAAATCTGGCCTCAGATACTTACGAGCTGTGTGATCCTGGGCAAGTCACTTATGCCTGTTTGCCTTCATTTCCTTATCTATCAAATGAGCTAGACAAGGAAATAGCAAACAATTGGGGTTGAGTGACTTGCTTAGGGTCACACAGGTAGTAAGTATCAAGTGTCTTGAGGCCGGATTTGAACTCAGGTCCTCCTGACTCGAGGGCCGGTGCTCTATCCACTGCGCCATCTAGCTGCCCCTCCACTCCTGTATCTTTGCCAAGAAAACCCCAAATGGGGTCACAAAGAGTTAGACGTGACTGAAAACGACTAAACAACAGAAAACAAAAAAAAAGTTAGTTATACGATAGGAAACACTGTCTAGTTTGCCTAAGAGAGAGAAACCTTAAAAACTTACTAATAAGTGGGATACTAGTTCAAGCAGTTTAACCTGCAGCTCAAGTACAGTGTTTGTTAAACCTCAAGGAAGACTGTCTGTCACTGAATTAATTAATTCATGCAATATTTGAGTTGCCCATCAGGTGGTACTTTATGTGAGCGCCTACCCCAGCAACCCAGGCAATTTTCCCCTGGCCAGTGGCAGCAGAGTCTCCTTCAAAGGCTGCAGTAGCCCTTCTAGGCATCAGAATGCTCCCAGCCTGCAGGTTCCTAGCCTCCTCCCCTGCCCTAAATGAGTCCATGGCTTCAGCTACAACTCTAAGTGTTTTGATTAACCCCCCAACATCTGGGCCCAAAACCAGTCTAGGAGAAAAAGTGAAATATGATGCAGAATGTTAAAATATAAAATTTATAATCATATCTAGCTCATGAGTCTCCCTTCTCATCTGTGCCTCCTAGCTTCCTTGGCTTCCTTTAAGTCTTGGCTAACGTTCCACCTTCTATGAGAGTCCTCCTTAATTTCAATGTTTTTCCTTTGTATATATATCTTGTTTGTACGTAGTAGTTTGTCTGTTGTCACATTAGACTGTGAACTCCTTAAAAGCAGTGCCTCTCTGTATCTCCAGGCTTAGCATAGTGCCTGGCATACAGTAGGTACATAATCCAATTCACTTCCATGTCATGGCATCACCTCCCTGATGTCATGGTCCTCTTTGAGAATGAAGGACAAACAGCAGCTAGTTGACTAACTTGTTGGAGAAGACCCTGATGTTAGGAAAGATTAAAGGCAAAAGGAAAAGGGGATGGCAGAGGATGTGAAGGATAGATAGCATCATGGAAGCAATGAACATGAACTTGGACAGACTTGGAGGACAGAAGGTCCTTCAATGCAATGGTCCATGGGGTCATGAAGAATCGGACACAAGTGAATGACTGAACAATGACAACAGAAGTTGACTGACTAAGCCCATCTGGGTCTCTCCCAGCTAGATTCAACATCTCAGCATGCTGTGGTCATATAGTTCATTGTATACAGCATAACGTGAAAGGAAATCATTCTGTTTTATACTTGCTCCCACACTAGACAGTTGTTCAGATCCAACTCTTCTTGACCCTGTGGACCATATTCATGGCAATGTCCATTTCTGGGCAAAAAATACTGGAGTAGTTTGCCATTTCCTTCTCCAGTGGATTAAGGCAAACAGAAGCTAAATGACTTGCCCAGGGTCACACAACCAGTAAGTGTCTCAGGCCAGATTTGAACCCAGATCTTCCTTACTCCAGGCCCAGTGTTCTATCCATTGAACCATCTAGTTGTCTCTTCTCATTTCCCCTCCTAGATCTTTGGATGTGACTGGGGGGATTCCCAACCACACATACCCATAGCTAGTGGAAAGAAATACGTAAAGAGAGTATTGCACCTTGTGTCAGGATCTCAGACTCTTAATAAAGGAAATCAGGAGAGGAAGAAATGGAAATCAGATGGAAATCTCCCTCTTCCGGCTAACCAACCCAACAGGATTCCCAATAGTTGGCAGGTAGTCTCAGCAACTCAGGCTCCTTTCTTGTCTCTGTTCCCACTCTTGTCTCTGCTCCAGAGCCCAGATCTCTCCTGCAGGGCTGGTCTTGGGAGTTTTATTCACCTGTTTATATCTTCATCTTCATTAACTGCAGCAGTATCTTGGTTACTCTTGTCGAGCTCATAGAAATGCCAAAGTCTAAATCCAAGGAGTATAGAGGAAGGAAGGGGAGAATCCAGCCCTGAATACTGCAGCATATGGGTCTTGTCCGCCTTTCTCCTCCCAGGAGACTTCTTCCCATTATGAGCACATTTTGAGACCCCCAGCGAGGGGGGAAAGACAATCACCTTCTGTCTACCAGGATCATCATCAGAAACCACTCTGCCAGCCTCCATCCCTGAATCACCATCATTCAGGGTCCAGGTGAAAATAAGTCAAAGAAAGAGGGCCTAGGTTATACCAGATTAAATTTACCCAGCTAATTAAATGAGCCCATTTTGCACATGGAGAGTTTGCTCAAGGGTTCAGTTTGCAATCCTAATCACAGGGAAAAGTATAAACCCAGGCAATTTAGGGAGAGATAGTTCATTCCATTTCCTTGGTAATGAATTGCCTTGAAATTCAAAATTTTCCCCATTTTGGCTAACGACACCTGCCATTGTGGTCACTTAAATGGGATGTCAAGTGGAGCAGAAGGAGTCCTGTATTTGGAGTTGGAGGATGTGGGTTCAAATTGGGATCCCACAGTGTATTAATATCTGTGTAACTGGGGGCAGGTCATTTAAACCCTGGGCAAGAGTTTCCTCTTCTGTCAAAGAAGTGGATTGGATTAGATCAAAAGTTCTTAACCTTTTTCTGTGTCATAGACCCCGATGCAGAATAATGTTTTAAAAGCATAAAATAAAATACACAAGATTACAAAGGAAACCAATTATATTGAAATGTAATTTTCAAAATATTAAAGTTTCCAAGTTCTTGGACCCCTTGAAATAATAACAACAATGATAATAATATTTATATAACACTTTAAAAGGTTTGCGAAGTACTTTACATAAGTTATTTCTTTTGGTCCTTATAAGATGGGTGCCATTATTATCATTCCCATTTTACAGATGAGGAAACTGAGGCTAAGAGAGACTAAGTGACTTGTCCAGGGTCACACAGCTAATAAGTATCTGAGGCAGTATTTGAATTCAGGTTTTGCTGCTTCCAAGTCCAAACGTATCCACTTTAGGAATCCCAGGTTAAGAACCCCTGGACTGGAAGATCTCTGAGGTTCCTCCTAGTTCTTCTCTGAGGTCCCTTTTAGTTCTAAATCTATGATTCCCTAAAGTGACTGATGAGTTGCTGCTCTGTGGAGGGATTTTTTTGTTGGTTTTGTTGTTGTTGTTGTTGTTTACCCCAAGGGTTCCCCATATCAATGAAATCACATACCCTTCCCTCAAAAAAGGGTTAAAATAAAATTGAAGTTTTCATTTTGAAAGCCCCTCCCCTAAAGATTCCTTGTAGAGTCTAAGCTTCTTTGAGTTCAATGATTCTAAGTCACAACTGCAGTGCATCACCTGTAAATGGTTTGTACCTTAGATTGTGCTCCTCCTCCCCCTCGCTTTGAGTTTGACATCATGGAAAGCTCCCTGCGTGCAGGGACCGTTTTTCGCCTCTTTTGATATCCCCAGAGCTTAGCGAAGTGCCTGCAGCATGATTGTTGTTGGTGTTGTTACTATTATTTGTCCTTCATTCTGGAAGAGGACCATGACATCAGGGAGGTGACGGTGCTTAATAAATGCTTATTGTCGGACTGACTGATAACGCCCAGGATAGGTTTACATCTTGGAGAGCAGCTCTGCCCTGTGATTATTAAGGGAACAAATCATTTTCCTTAGACAGTGGTGCTCTCCAATAAAGCTGAAGGAAGCCCAGATACCCACTAGGCTCTACTGTGACCCTTCCTCCAAGATTATTAGCTACGCGTTATAGCAAGAATGACAAGATGGTCTGGAATTATGAAAAGCCACCTTCCCTGCAGGCTTGCCATTAGACAAATGAATTCCTGGCTATCCTCCACCCCCTGGAGCAAATCAGATGAAGTAAATTCTTAAAATGAAACATGAGAAGCAAAAGCTTCAGCTCCTGTGTGTTATTTTTTTCCTTTTTCAGAATAAACAGAGACTACAAATTCTTACTCAAACACAAACCTTTCATTTTTAGAAATAATTTTAATTTCCAGGTAAATATTTCAAGGTCTTACCTGTTTCCCACCGTGGTTTCCAGGGGCAGTACTCATCTTGAGAGTAACCATCCTAAGCAAAGAGCCGAGGGAGACTGGGAATTTGAATTAAATTTACAGCTGACTCATGGGGAGTGGTTCCTGCCGCACTCCACCCAGATCCGTTCCTTTTTTTTCTCCCACCATCAATTTGTTAGGGATTAAGTCTATGGGAAGCTGGGATAGTGGAGGACTGTGTAGGAGGTCTGGTGCATAAAGGGTTTCTCTGTTTTGTGTTTTGATTAAAAATGGATGGAGTTTTAGCCATTGAGGGAGAGGGGGAGAATCATTTAACTAATGTTGTTTCATTAGAGGCAAATTCTGAACCCTTGGCAATGGCCTTTTCAAAATAGATGGCTCCAGCCTTTGGAATTTGTCCTCTGGCTAACTCCCCTTCAAGGTTACTTGGGTGAATTTCAAGGAATTCTGCATTCATATTTTCCTTTTAGGTTATTCTTCAAGTTGTAGCCGAGATGTTAGTACAAGCTATTGTGTTGTAAAAGATGTGTGATATTTACAGTCATAACATGTCCTGGCCATTTCTAAACCATGCTGCCCATATTTCCCCCAGCTTCTTCATCAGCCCCCTTCCTCCAGAACTCTGCCACTGGGACTCTGGGCTCTGTCTGATAAGTCTGTGATAGGCCTTATCTTGCCTGGAACCAAGCCTCCTGGGACTTAAAAGTCATGTATAAGGGCAGCTAGTTAACTGTCACAGTGGATAGAGCACTGGCCCTGACTGAAGTCAGGAGGACCTGAGTTCAAATATGACCTCAGACCAAACACTTGACACTTACTAGCTATGTGACCCTGGGCAAGTCACTTAACCCCAATTGCCTAAAAAAAAAATCACACATACTGCCCCCCACCTCCCTTTCTGTGGCATTTTCCTCCATTGGGGTGAGAGCTCCCTGAAGGCAGACTTGTACTTGTATCCCCTCTGGTGCTTAGCACAGTGCCTGGCAAATGGTAGGGGCAGGCAGGTAGGTAGTGTAATGCATATATATAGTGCTGGGCCTGGAGTCAGGAAGACTCCTCTTCCTGAGTTCAAATCTAGCCTCAGACTCTTACTAGCTGTGTGATCCTGAACAAGTCACTTTACCCTGTTTGCCTCAGTTTCCTCATCTGTAAAATAAGCTAGTAAAGGAAATGACAAACCACTCCAGTATCTTTGCCAAGAAAACCTCAAATTCAGTCACAGAGAATTGGACACTTCTGAACAACAACATCTCAGCCCTGGAAGGCAGGTATTATTATCCTCAAAGAAAGTTTTAAGTGACTTGCTCAAGGACACACAGCTAGTGTCTGAGGCAGAAATTCGGGAGCTAAAGTCTAGTCCTCTACGCACTGGACAACCGAGCTACTTAATCTCAACCAACTGTCACTCTCCAGCTGCTGGATCCAGTCTCTGCTGGATAATGCTTCTTGCTATTACTTCCTGGGACAATCCTTTCAGAGTTGTTCAAACAATCTTAGTTCCTGTCTACTCAAGTACACTGGCTAGAAGCTTGCTTGAATAACAGCAGCTGTAAAAACTGTCATAGCTGTTAAATCTAGCTAAGAAAAGCCAGCCAGATTGCCCCCAGGCTGAATTAAATCTTGTGTAGAAAGAGATTTAAAAAAAAAAGACTCTTAGCATAGTACCTAGTACACAGTAGACACTTAGTAAATGGTTACTGACTTAATAAATGATTACAGATAACTATCTAATTTAGGATTAGAAGTAAAAGCTTCAACTCCTGTGAGTTTCTTTTCCTTTTTCAGAATAAACAGAGACTGCAAACCCTAACTCAAACACAAAACTTTCATTTTTAGAAATAATTTTAATTTCCAGGTAAATATTTCAAGGTCTTACCTGTTTCCCAGCGTGGTTTCCAGGGGCAGTCCAAAATCCTTTCTAGTTTAGTTTACAAATGAATTTGAACTAGAATAAAAAGTGAGCCAAGTTAGATGGCAGATTAGAGGCAGCCACCAGCTGAGCTCTCTCCACATTCCCCTCCAGACAACTTTAAAATAATGCCTCAAATCAAATTTTGGAGCAGCAGAGCCAAAGTCCAGGATGAGACATTTTTCTGGCCTATGAAAACTTAGGAGGTCTGTATGAAAGGTCTATGACCCTGAGGAGGCTTGTCTGGACTGTGCACAAAGGGTTAATGACAGCAGCAGCAGCAGCAGCAGCAGCAGCAGCTTCAGAAGCTCTCAGCCCAGAGACGGTAAGGGAATCAGACAGTTGGTCAGAAAGAGATTACAAAAGACCCTTTGCAGGCACTGGGTACAGCTGGTACTGACTGACAATTCTATTGCTTATATGCCATCCTGGGTCACAGTCCTAGGGCAGAGAGGACCACTTGTGGCTGGTCATAAGGAGAAGGAGTCCTGGTCATAGCTCGAGGACAAAAAGAAGTGCTGGTTTTTGCAGCTGCAAGAGAGCAGGATCCCTTCCTGGGTAAAGACCACAGCACAGAGCAGGACAGCAGTGATCCTATTTCTCATCAAATCACACCACCTTGGAAGCACCAAAAACTTGCAGACCTCCAGAACTAGCTCTGAAAACAGTAGCACCAAAAAGCCTAAAGCTCAACATAGCGCTTCCCCAGAGCTTAACTTTAACATTAAGTTCAAAGTCAAGAAATAGGCTGGAAAAATGAGTAAATAATAACAACAACAAAAATAACTTGACCATAAGAAGCTACTCAGAGGCAGGGAAGAACAAAATATAAATTTAGAAGACAACAATGTGAAAACAGCTAAAACAAAAGCCTCAAAGAAAAATGATAATTGTACACAAGCCAAACAAGAATTTCAGGAACATTAAAGAAAGAAATGAGTGGTAGAGGAAAATTGGGAAAAGAAATGAGAGTGATGCAAGAAAATTATAAGAAGAGAATTAACAGCTTGGTAAAAGAGGCACAAAAAGTATTGAAATAACTCCTTAAAAAACAGAATTGGTCTAATGGTAAAAGAGGCACAAAAATTCACTGAAGAAAAGAACTTAAAAAAGTAGAATTGGACAAATGGAAAAAAAAGAGGTACAAAAGCTCAAAGAAAATAACTCTTTAAAAATTAGAAGTGTCCAACTAGAAGCTAGTAACTCAATGCAAGAAACAATAAAACAAAATCAAAAGAATAAAAAAAAATAGAAATATCTCATTGGAAAAAAATAACTGATCAGGAAAATAGATCAGGGAGAAATAATTTAAGAATTATTAGACTACCTGAAAACTATGATCAAAGAAAGAGCCCAGACATCATATTTCAAGAATTTATAAAGGAAAACCGTCCCGATATCTTAGCTTCAGAGAATAAAGTAGAAATTGAAAGATTCCACCAATCACTGCCCGAAGAAGATACCCAGATGAAAAGTCCCAGGAATATGATAGCCAAATTCCAGAGTTCCCAGGTCAAGGAGAAAATATTGCAAGCAGTCAGAAAGAAACAATTCAAAAATCATGGAACTGCAGTCAGGATCACACAAGATGTAGCAGCTTCCACGTTAAAGGATCGGAGGACATGGAATATAATATTCCTGGAAGGCAAAAGAGCTAGTATTGGACCAAGAATAACCTACCCAGCAAAAGTGAGTATAGTCCTTCAGGGTGGGGGTGGGGGGAATGGGTATTCAATAAGATAGAGGACTTTCAAACATTCCTGATGAAAAGACCAGAGCTGAACAGAAAATTTGACATTCAAACAGAAGACTCAGAAAATGCATAAAAAGGTAATCATGAAGGGGTAGTTAAAATGGACTCAATAAAGTTAAACTGTTTACATTCCTATATGGGAAGGTGATTCATGTAACTCCTAAGAACTTTATCATTAGTAGGGTAGTTAAAAGGAGGTTACATAGATAGAAGGTATGGGTGTGAGTCAATTATGTTGGAATGCTCCCCCATCAAAGAAAATGAAGGGGTGAGAAAGAGGGATGCACTTGGAGAAGGAGGAAAGAAGAGATAGAATGGAGACATTTTTCTCATATAAAAAAGGAACACAAGGAAGAACTTTTACAGTGGAAGGGAAAATGGGGGGAGAAGGCAGGCAATGTTTGAACCTCACTCTCATCTAACTTGGTTTAAAGAGGGAAGGATATATATACACACTCAGTTGTAAATAGAAATATAACTTACCCAATAGGGAAATAGGAGGAGAAGGGTGGGAAGGGCAGATTAAGGGAAGCAGTGGTTAGAAGCAAAACAAACTTTTAAGGAGGGACAGGACAAAAAGAGAGAGAAGAAGAAACAGAAGAAAATGGGATGGAGAGAAATACATAGTCATCATAACTGTGAATGAAATGGAAGCACATAGCAGAATGGATTAGAAACGAGAATCCAACAATATGTTCTTTATAAGAGATGCACTTGAAGCAAAAAGACAGACAGAGTTAAAATAAAGGGCTGCAGCAGAATCTGATATGCTTCAGCTGAAATAAAAAAGGGAGGGGAGTAGGATTCATGATGTCAGACAAAGCAAAAAGCAAAAAATAGGTCTAATTAAAAAAGATAATCAGGGAAAGTATATTTTTTCACAGTCTTACTCCCATGCCTGACACTCTCCCCCTCCCCATCTCTGCCTCTTGCTTGGCTTCCCTGGCTTCTTCCAAGTCTAAGTTAGAGTTTTATCTTCCATAAGAAATCTTTTCCAATCCTTTTTAATTTTAGTGCCTTCCCTCTGAAATGACCTCCAATTTATGGTTATTTGCCTGTTGTCTCCCCCCATCAGTCTGTGTGTTCCTTGAGGGCAGGAACTGTTTTTTGCCTTTCTTTGGATCCCTAAGACTGATCAGAGTTGAATACATGCTTGTTAAAAGACTTGACATGACTTCTATGATTAATTAACGTCATCATTATCCAGCCAGTCACTAGCATCTCCAAGCCTATTTCCTCACTTATTAAACAAGGATAATAATCCTAGTGATACCCAGCAGATATGGTGGGTCCAAAGTGTGACTCCACTTTGCACCTGCCACTTTGCCTTGTCTCAACTGCATGGAACAAAATGTGCAGGATAAACTCACCACTTCTAATCTCGCCATCTCGCTGCTAGCTAAAGCCTTGATTGGTACCACTTCCCTCAGCCTCCTG